ACCCACAATTCAAGGAGAAGTAAGCTGTCTTGAGAGGAAGCTGTATTCTAGAAGGAGAATCAACTACAAAGTCAAAGTGCGACATCAAAGAACAGAGAAAACCAGTTGGGACAAATTGTTAACTCACTTAGTAATTAACCTCAAAGAACTCTTCCTAGCAACACTAGCTTAACCCTAAGGAGAAGAGTTGTGAGCATGTGAAAGCTGTCCAATTAAGGAGTGTAAGAGAATTGAAGGATATAGTTCGGAAAAATGTTGAAATTAAAAAGGAGGTTGTAGAACCTAAAAGACCTTTGAAAGATATTTTCAAAGACATAGAAAAACCAGTCTCACAAACTAAGATTAACTTAGAAAGACCACTACCATCATTTCCTCAAAGACTTCAGAAGCAAAAATTGGACCAACAATTTTCTAGATTCTTGGACGTATTTAAAAAATTAATGATTAACATTCCTTTTACTGAGGCGTCAAAATAAATTCTTAGTTATGTAAAGTTCATGAAAAAGATTCTTAAAAAGAAGATGAAGTTTGGAGATTATGAGACTGTAACACTTAGTGAGGAGTGCAGTGTTATCATATAGAATAAACATCCTCAGAAGTTTAAGAATCCTGGAAGCTTTACTATCCCTTGTACAATTGCAGAGAAAAATGTTATGTGATCGTGGAGCCAGTATAAACTTTATGTCATTGTCTATTTTCAAAAGGTTAGGATTAGGAGAGGTATGTCCTACTACGATGACCCTTCAACTAGCTGGTCAATCAATCACTTATCTAAGGGGTTCATAGAAGATGTCCTCGTAAAGACAGATAAATTTATCTTCACTGATGATTTTATTATTTTAGATATGGAGGAGGATAATGAAGTTCTCATTATATTTGGTAGACCTTTTCTAGCTACTGGACGGGCCATGATAGATGTGCAAAAATGTGAATTAACTATGAGGGTAAATGATCAGGAGATTACGTTTAATGTATTAAAATCTATTAAGTATCATGCTAAAGGAAATGAAGAAGCATGTTTTCAGATGAATTTAATTGATTATTTATGTAGTAGCCATTTTTGAGAGAGCTGTGAAGTCAAAAAAGTAGAGTCAGAATTAAATGAGGAAAACTCTGTAGACTCTGTAGATGAATTCGCTCTCTTGGTAGAAGAGAATTCAAAAATTGTTCGGGAGAGGTTTGAGATTCTAGATACAATAGAAAATTGTAAACCTCTTATTCCTTCTATCGAGGAACCCCCTGAACTTGAGAAGGTGCTTCCCAAAAATCTAAAGTATTTTTGTTTGGGGAAGTCATTTACATTATCAGTTTTCATATCCTCAGATTTGACTCATTTAAGATGAGAAATTAATGGATATTCCGAGGAATTATAAAAAAGCTTTCAAATGGATCTTAGCAGATATAAAGGGAATCAATCCTCTATATGTATGCATAGGATCCTGATAGAAGATAATCATAAACCCCAGGTAGATCTTCAAAGGAGATTAAACTCTATTATTAAAGAAATTGTTAAAAAAGAAATATTGAAGTGGCTTGATGTAAGTATTATCTATCTTATATCAGAGAATGTCTGGGTTAGCTCTATTCATTGTGTATCAAAGAAATATGGAGTGATAGTTGTAGCAAATGAACAAAATGAATTAATTCCTACTCGATATGTCACTGGGTGGCGTATATATATCGATTATAAGAAATTAAATTCAATTTTTAGGAAATGTTAGTTTCCTTTACCCTCTCTAGATCAGATGTTGGTAGGGCTGGCAAAACGGCTCGTTCTTCCCAAACAGCTCGTGTTCGACTCGTTAAGAAGCTCGTGTTCGGCTCGTTAATTTCGTTCGATAAGTTAACGAGTTGAACACGATCAAAGATGTGTTCGTTCGTGTTTGGCTCGTTTTGGCTCGAAATACTACTCATCAAGTTTTTATATATATATATATATATATAAGTAGTATTTTAAAAAAATCTAATTGACTACAAGGCTACAAAGATTTATAATCCATTAAAATATTGATTAAGAAAATAGAATAAAAATTCTTAAATTAGATTCAAATGATGTTTTAATATAAATAATAATTTTTAAATCTTGCTCAAACCATTATCGTTTTATGACTACGTTCTACATGATTAGGGTTGTTAAAAGGACTCTTTGTTATTGAACAGCTCGTGTTCGGCTCGTTAAGCAAACGAGCCGAACACAAACACACTTTTTGAGCTCG